GTCCTCTGTGATGCTGTAATGTCTGTGGTGATGTCTCGTTTTTCTCATTATTAGGTATTTATTTGGGGTCTTTCTGATTTTCTCACACAACCACTCATAGCTATGAACCTTCCTCTTAGAAAGGCCTTCACAGTGTCCCACTCCTAGAGGTTCTGAGAAGTTGTATCACTATTCTCATTGGATTCTAAGGATTTTTTTAAAATTATTTCTCTCCTGATTTCTTCAATCTCCCACTCATCATTCAAAAGTACATTTTTCTGGGCTGGGGCTGGGGCTCAGGGGTAGAGAGCACTTGCCTAGCATGTGTGAGGCCCTGGGTTCGATTCTCACCACTGCATTTAAATAAATAAAGGTCCATGACTTGTGCAGAGAATCTTTGCTGCACGGATGTCAGGATGATCGATCTATTTGAGTGAGATGGATTGAAATCACCCCGTTATTGTTGGACGGGGGTCTCTCCGAGGCTTTGAGTAGTGTCCATTTTATGGAATCGGTTGCTCTGATATTGGTGCCATGAATATTGCTGTATCTTCTTATTGGATGGCGGCTTGGTCTCTTCTCATGAATTCTGCCCTGAGGTCGGCTTCGCGACACAGGAGATCAGCTGCCCCAGCTTGTTTGGGGGCTCCGTTCCCGTGGTGTATCAATGTCCGTCCTTCTGTGTCCTTTGCCTGTGGCAGTGTCTGGCCCACCACGTGGATCTGGGTCTTGAGTTTTAGTTCCGCTAACTCATGTCTTTGAATTGGAGGGTTGAGATCATTTATGTTCAATGTTACCAGAGTGCGATGTTTATGAATTCCTGACATTTTAATTTATTTCTAATGCTTAGTTGGATCCTGTCTCTCATTTGCTTAAGCTACTCTCCAGATGAGATGTGAGCATTTGGGAGCTTTGGGATTTTAAAACATTTCTTCTGTGTGCAGCATTTCTTTAATAAGTTATGAAGCGCCAGCTTAGTAATGAGGAATTTTTTAAAATTTCTGCTTATCTTGGAAAGTTTTTATTTCCCCTTCATGGGAAATAAATACCGGGGGGTTGAACTCAGGGGCATTTGACCCCTGAGCTCTGTCCCCAGCCCTAGTTTATATTTTACTTAAGAGACAGGGTCTCACTGAGTTGCTTAGGCTTCAGTTTTTGCTGAGGCTGGCCTCCAATTTGCGATCCTCCGGCCTCGGCCTCCTAACTGCTGATGTCCTGAGCTGGCTTAAGGTCGGGGGAGGTTTGCCATCGGGCGCGCGGTGCAAGGAAGAGGGTGTTGGAATTTGGGCCGAGGGACCCCCCAGCTGTGGGACCCTCCCGCATCTCTCTGCAAGTGCCTTCAGCGATCCGGGAAGGCGCTCTGGGGGAGGGGGGGGTCGCTGCTGTCCCCATAGCAGCCCTGCAGACAGGGACCTCAAGAGGGCAGCCACCACTTGCTCCGTGCACCCGCCCCAGGGACCCGAGATCTGGGGACTGAGGGGACAGCGGCCCCCGGGCAGGCAAAGCCAAGGTCGCCACAGCGCTGTTTGCGTGGATCCGCTGTGGAGCGTCTTTCAACTTGTTTACAATCTGCGTCACCGGGAACCTTTCACCGCGGAGGGGACAAAAGTTTCCTCTTTTGCAAGTCCTGGGAGAACCGGCGGCGCCACCTGGGCCCCGCGAGGAGCTGGTGCAGGGCGCCGCCCCGTGGCCACTGTAGGCATTGCACACCCCGGGTACCCTCTCCGCTGAGTGTCCTGAGTTTTTTTCGGGGTGTTGCGGTACCAGAGATGGAACCCAGGGGTGCTTCACCACAGAGCCCCATCCCCAGTCCTTTTTATATTTTATTTAGAGACAGGCTCTCCCTGAGTTGCTTAGAGCCTTGCTAAGTTGGCTGAGGCTGGCCTCCAATTGGCGATCTTCCTGCCTCAGCCTCCCGAGCCTCTGGGAGGACAGCCGTGCGCCACCGCCCCCAGCACCCGCCTTTTACCTACCCCTACACCATACTGGACACGCTGCAGCACCTGTCCACAGCACCAACCATCCGTCCATCCACCACAATCCCGGTGCCAAAAAATAAAATAAAAAACGCGCTGGGGCTAGGCTCTGCAGCAGAGCACCTGCCTAGTGTGTGGGAGGCCCTAGGTCCCGTCCTCAGCACCACATAAAAATAAGTAAATAAAATAAAAGTATGCTGTCCACCTACAAATGAAAAAAAAATAACACCTTTCCCGCTTGTATTTGACAGGTTTTTTGTTGCTGTGACTCAAGGACCCACCAGCACAACTGTAGAGGGAGACAGGGGTGTCCCAGGTCCCAGTCCACAGATGGCGGCTCCAATCCTGGCCGAGGGGAGGCAGGACATCATGGAGGAAGAGTGTGGGGAGGGAGCAGCTCCCATGGGGACCAGGGGGCAGAGACTCCACTCTCCAGGGACAAAGAGAGACCCCAAGCCACGGCCCCAGGGCCACCTCCTCCCCATACCCCACCTGGGGCCACCAGGGGACCCCCCAGGGAGCCATTCACTGCCAGAGTTTTGGCCTCACACCCCCTCACTCCTCCTCTGGACCTTCCTGTGTCACCTCCCACGGGGGCTCTGGGGACACTCACAGCCAGACCTGTCTCTGATGACCCCAATCCCCAACAAAACCCCTTACACAGACCAGAACACCCTTTAGAATAATTGTTAACGTTTCCCAAAACATTTTATTATGAAAGATTCTCGAACTTCAAGCGTCCAAAACGAGCAAAGAATTTTGTAGTAACCCACATGCCTTGGGCATGCGCTCTGTGGTCACCCCGCTGATGTTCTTGCCCCACCTCATTCCTGCCTTCTCCGGATCTGTCCCTGCACGTCTTCATCAATCCATCTTATTTTTTTTTAAAAAAAAAAAACAGGCTTTTAGCCAGGCACAGTGGTTCACACCTGTAATCTCAGTGACTCAGGAGGCTGAGGCAGGAGGATCTCAAGTTAGAGGCCAGCCTCAGCAACTTAGCATAGACCCTGTCTCTAAATAAAATACGAAAAGGGCTGGGGACGGGGCTCAGTGGTTCAGGGCCCTGGGTTCAATTCCTGGTGCCAATAAAAATAAGGCTTTAATCCGTAAGTGATCTGAGGCTCAGAATGGAATTTCCAAATCAGGCCACATTTTCTAGACGGTTTCCTTCCTTCCTTCCTTCCTTCCATCCTTCCCTCCCTCCCTCCCTCCCCAGGGCACACAAACCAGGGGCACTCAGCCACGGAGCCCCGTCCCCAGCCCTGTCTTGTATTTCATTTAGAGACAGGGTCTTGCTGAGTTTGCTTAGGGCCTCGTTCAGTTGCCGAGGCTGGCCTCCACCCTGCGATCCTCCTGTCTCAGCCTCCAGAGCCACTGGGATGGCAGGCGCGCGCCATCGGACGCAGCCCACCAGTTGCCCTTTGTCAAAGGCCCTTCTAGAAAGTGCAGCCGCCTCCGGCGGGAGGGGACCAGGTCTATTTTTGCTCCAGGACGAAAGAAGAAAAAGCGCTCTCGAGGAAGCGCAGAGGGGAGGGGTGACAGGGAGGACGCTCGCGTCACCCTCGCCGGGTCCCCGCCCGGCCTCAGCCTCAGCCTCAGCCTCAGCCTCAGCGCAGGGAGCCCGGGAGGAAGCGCAGGCTGCGGACTCGGCGCTGCCCCCGCCCACCCGCTCCGGCCTCTGTGACGTCACAGTGGGCGTGGAGAATGGTCGCCATGGCGACGGGGAACGCCGAGCGCCGGCTGCTGTGGGGCGAAGGAGAACTGCGGCGCCGGGCTTCGGGCTTCGGAGCCAGCGCGCGCCGGTGGGGGCGAGGTTCCTCTGCAAGGTCCCCCTGCGAGGTCCCCCTGCAAAGCCTCACGCCTTTCTTTGCCGTCTCATCCCTGCTCTGCTCGGTCCCCGTGCATCTCTCCATCCCTGTCCCCACGATGTCCCTGTGCAGCTTTGCAAGGCAGTGACCTAGCGAGGGGACCTTAGGAAGCCGGCCTCACCAGCTCGGGGCTCTCCCCGCGGGACGCCTCCAGTTTCCCGGGAGGAACCGCTGCCCACCTGTGTCCTTGGCCGCCCCGGGATCTCTGGGGGCGCCTCGAAAATGCACCCAGCAGTTTGGGGAGGCCGAGGACCTGTCCCGAGCTTTGTTCCCGGGAAGACCCTGTTCTCCCGAGGTCCCACCCCGGGGACACCGACGGCTGGGCTTTGTTTGTGGATTCTGGGGAGGAGGAGCCCAGGGCGCTTTTCCACTGAGCTACACCCTGTTATTATTTGGGGATGGGGTCTTGCCAAATTGCCCAGGCTGGCCTCACCTTGCAATCCTCCTGCCTCAGCCTCCCAAACTGCTTGGGATTACAGGTGTGCATTGCTGTGCCTGCTAATAAACCTCTCTCTCTCTGGCACTGGGGATTGAACCCAAGGGCGCTTGACCCCTGAGCCCCGCCCCAGCCCTTTTTATTTTTTATTTAGAGACAGGGTCTCGCTGAGTTGCTTAGAGCCTCGCTGAGTGGCTGAGGCTGGCTTTGAACTCGCCATCCTCCTGCCTCAGCCTCCCAAGCTGCTGCGATGACATGTGGGTGCCACCAGCTAGCAGTCAACTTTTTTTTTTTTCCAACAATCACCTTATAGTGGGAATTGCAGAGAAGAAAACAAAATTCGGATCTAAGAGGATGTCCTTCAGGGAAGATGTCTGTGAAGGGTGGTGTTTGAGCTGGTTTTGAAGGGAAAGGAGCCCCCCTGGTCCCAGCGGGGTGAGGGACAATTTCTTTTTTCTTTTTCTTTTCTTTTTTACTGTGGAGGCTTTGCGAGTGCAAAGGTCCTGGGGCAGACAGAGTTAATCTGGTCAAAGAACAAAAGATCAAGGCCACTAAACCCACAGAGGGAGTCTCTCCATGACCCTCGTGAAGGACAAGTCGTCGCGCCAGCCCCCCTCCCAGAAGCGGGGGCGGGGGGCTGTGACACGGGGCACCTGACGCATGCGCTGTTTCTCTTCCCCAGGTGAGAATCGTTCTCGGCCAAGGTCAGCCTGCGCATTGTCCCGTTAGTCCTGGGCTGGGATGTCTAAGATGCTGTCTTCCCTGGTCTTCAACAACCTGGCCCACAATAGTAAGTCCTGGGCTGGGCCGGGTGCCCTTGGGGTCCCAGACACTGGGAGCCTGGGGTCCCAAGGTGGAGACCTCCCCCAGGGTGGTGGAGGGGACTCTAGACCCAGCCACGAGGCGCCAAGTCCCTGATCGCGAACCCCGTGGACCAGTTTCTTACTGGGCCCATGACCAGGACCACAGCTGACCTGGTTCTGGAGGGTTGGAGGCACAAGAACCCGAGGTGTGGACGGTCCGATTCTCTCTGAGGACCCTGAGGGGTGTGCGCACCACGTCTTTCTCCTGGCTTCTGGGGTCACCAGCAATCTTTGGTGTCTTTGCTTGCATGTCCCCGAGGTATTCTGCCTGTGTGTGCGCCTGCTTCCAAATGTCCCTTTTATAAGGACAGCAGCAGCTGGGCGGTGCGGTGGCCCATGCCTATAATCCCCGTGGCTTGAGAGGCTGAGGCAGGAGGATCCCAAGTTGGAGGCCAGCCTCAACAATTTAGTGAGGCCCTAAGCCACTCAGGGAGACCCTGTCCCTAAATAAAATACAAAAAAAGGGGGGCTGGGGACAGGGCTCAGGGGTCGAGAGCCCCTGAGTTCAATCCTGGTACCCAAAAGAAAAGAAAGAAAGAAAAAGAAACCAAGGCTCAGAGAGGCCCCCTGCACAGACGGTGTCTTTCCCCTCCTTGCTCAGTGCTCAGAGTCACTCAGTGTCCTGGCTGTCACTCTTATATGTCCCCAGGGAAGAGCTTGCAGACCATGAACAAGAGTCTGTCTTCCATCATTGAGGACCATCCCGAGAAGCCGACCAAGAAGGACAAAGGTGACTCAGCGGGTGGTGACGTCGGGTGGACGCTCACCCCTGTTTTCTCTTGCCTCCTGGGCTGGGGGGACACCCAGACCCCAGGGACATAAGCCACTGCAAGAAAGAGCTGGCTCCTCTGTCCAACAAGGTGTCTCCCTCCCCAGAGCCTGCGAAGGTTTCCAATCCCTCGGCCAATCCTTTCCACATGTCTGGGGACATGGACTTCTTCCTGTTCAGGGACCAGGAGCTCAATAAGGCTATTTTGGTGAGTACTGGCCAGGGGCCAGCCCCTCGGTGACCTCCCTTCCCCCCTGGGGGCTTCCTTCTCTCAGACCAGCAGCAGACACCACTTTCCTTCTCAGAAGAGCAATTTCCTCAGATCAAGTTCTCTACAACAGTCAGTGGCTCACGGTTTCCTTGGGCCCCTCTTATGAAGCCATCAGCTGGGTCCTGAACCCCTGCAAGATTCTTAGATATTGAATTCTCTGAGGCAGCTGGCAGGTCCTGGCAGGAAGTCAAGCCACCCCAGAGTGTCCAGATGACTTCAGTGAAAGGTGCAGGCGGGTGGGTGAGGACCTGGCAGGGTCTGTGCAGGACCCACAGGACAAGGACAGCAAGAGTCAGTGGTGATCTTGGCCAGAGATCTGGTGCTTTCCCTGCCTCCTGTCCTGGAGTCTCCTCTGAGGGAGGGTTGGGTCAGGATGGCATCCGGTGGGTGGGTGGGGGACACAGAGGGTGCAGGACAAGGTGGCCCATGAGTAGGGACAACAGACCACCAAGTGACCTTCCAGCCGACCAATACCAACAATACCCTGCCCATCCCACTCTGGATTCCGAGGTTCTTTTGGAAACCCAGAAGGTTCTAAATTCCCCGGACCTGTCTGTCATATTTAGCACCTCAAGACATGAGGCCCTCAGTTAA